GTAGAGGACCTGAGATTGAGGAAGACCATAAGGGGGTGAGGGGATTTTTTTTTTGACAGATAGAAACTGTTTATATATATATTTTTTACATATATATTTTATACACACACACACACACACACACAGTTTATACACACACACGCGCACACACACACACACACACACATAGTTTCTATCTGTCATGTGTGCTTAAACTACATCTTACAGTGCTGAATGCTGGTTGCTGAGAACAGGGTCTTTCAAATTGTGTTCTGCAGAACCCCAGAGTTTTGCAACAACTTGATGAGGTTCTGTAAGGGCAAAACAAAGAGAAAAGCTTGCTCAGATGCACCTATTTGCCTCCTGATTAGGGGTTCCAGGATTTTTTTTTAACTAACAGTTTTTGTAGCCTGAAAAAGTTTGAAAAGCCCTGGCTTAGAAGTCCCAGTGCCTTCAGTTCAGTGAGACTTATTTCCAGCCTTGCAACTTGAGTATACTGTAAAGGCTGACCCAAGTTTGAATCACAGCTCCTGAGTCTGCACCTCTCTTTCTTGCTCCTGCAAAGACACTTTGCCCCAATATGTATGCTGAAAGTGACTGGACGTTTTGGTAGCGACCTCCCTTCGTTGCAGCTGAAGCCCAGGTCAGATGCAAAAAGAGACTTTCTTGGGCTTTTCCTCTGACCAGCTGTCATCTGTGTCTTGCAGGTGATCAATGGCCTGATGGAGCGTCCTGACTGGAAGAGTGCTATCCAGAAGCCGCTCTGCATTCTCCCAGGAGGCTCTGGGAATGCTTTAGCTGCTTCACTTAATCACTATGCTAGGTAAGGCATCTCCCAAAGATTTCTTGTACTGCTTGTACTATTACCCGGGGCCATCCCTACTGTTAGGCAGAATAAGGCAATTGCTTTAGGCAGCACAGATGAGTGGGTGGCAAGAAAGGAAATGGAAGGAGAGTCACTCTGTCCTCCAGGCAATATGGTCTCTCTTGAGTTGGCCTTGACTTTTGGTGACTTCATGGACACATCCCTGTGGTTTTTCTAGCAATGAAAGGGATTGCATCTTCTGGACGTTTTTAAATTTCCAACTTGATCTACAACCTGGGCTTTCTTGATAGTTTCCCATCCATTTATTGGACTGACCTTGATTAGATTCTTGAGATTAGCCAAGATTGGCTAGGTACTGCCCCTGCTTAAGCTGCCTTTAAGTAGAAATATACTTAGACAGATTCTGCACCTCAAATCCTGTAGTGAGAACTCTGTGGCAAGATGTAGACAGCAGGTTTTGCATCCTTTTACTCTGCTCACCATAAAGAAAGGGCACAGTAGCAACCTGAGGTCTATGATCTGGCCACTGCCAGATGGCAACCCTGTCTGATCTTCTTCCATTGGTGCCTGAGAGTCTGTGAGCCTTTCTGATTGGAGAAAGAGTCATCCCTATTTCTGCTTTGTGAGGCAGCCATTGGTAGAGGAGTTTCACACTGAACCTTCCCATGACAGACATAGTGCATAGTATCTCCTTGGGTTGCTATCATATGTCAACCTAAAGAGAGGTGGGGGAGGTTGTTCCCTTGCAAAGCCCCCTTAATTACTAGTCCTTGGCTCAGCTTTCAGTAGTCTTCCAGGAACTATGGCAAAGATTACCCCTCCCATGTCCCTCCATGCTGGCCTCTGCCCTTTGAGCAGCAGGCCCCCTCTTCCATCTGCTCTGTGGCTAATCCCCACCTCCCCCCTGGGCTTCACTTTGAGGAGGGAGGGTGAATGAGGTGCGCTGAGACTTTCTGAATGGACTATTTTCCTCTCTGTTGAGCTGGCACAGCCACCTGGCATTCTCTAAGATAAATGCTCTGGCATCATCATGGCAGAGAAACAAGGCTGGGGGACAGGTCTGAGTCCAGTCAAACTGAACCTCAGGGGGGAAAGTGAGTCACTCTTAAGCTTTGGATATATTTCAACCCAGCCTTCCCCAGTATGGTACATTCAGAAGCTTTCGACTCAGGTTGGGAGACCATCAGGTAGAGAAAGCTGTTCTAATTATTCACTCCTCTGATCATTTTCCCATCCCTTTTCCTCACCCCTTTCTGCTCTTTGAGGGCTGTGTTTCAGTCTTCTCCCTCTGCACCTGCATCTGGGTGCTATTAGTAGAGCTGTACCTCTGAATCCTAACACCTCCAGGAAATCCCTCCAGGAAAAAGGACACTGGGGGTCTTCATGATGGTTAACACTACTTGCCAAGGCTGACAGGAGTTGAAATTTAGAAGGCATCTGGTTGCTTTCCCCTGCCCTAATCAGTTCATTGAATGTCTGGAGTTTGATAAATGAGCTAGGATATCTCAAAGGAGTTCTTTAATCCAACCACATTGTCTCTAAGAAAGGCTGACCAGCCATTTTAGGAAGTTAGTTAAAAGTGCAAAGCAGTGAAATCTTAAGATCTTCCTGTTGCCATTGGCATCTGGTAATGCTCTGAGGTCAAAATGGGATCACCTTCACTGGAGGAAGGGTGGAATGCAAACTGATGCCTAACATATCTTAGTTACGCAGAAATTACTTTCAGAATTATGGTGAATGGTAATTCTCCAAATTATTCTTGAAGGAAATTATTTGTTATTGATGACTGTGCTGCAGCAATTATTTTAAGATATGTACATATATGAATAGAATGGAATCAGTTACTTGATCTTGGTTATTTAGTTTTAAGCTAGATTTCTCCAACAGCGATGTTCTTTTTACATGAGTTGGATCTCAGCTACCACCCCCAACACCTGGCATTGCCCAGGCTAGTGAAATATACTTCCTTTGTTTTCTATCGCGAAACTCCATTGCTGATGGTGCACTTTTTAATGGCAGTACTCCTGTTATGCTCAATGGCCTTGCTCCCAGGTAGGCATGAAATGTATAAGCCCTCCTATCAAGGTTTTATTTTTATCTTCCTTCAAAGAAATCAGGGTCATCAGGAACATGGGCCTCCCCACCCTTCATTTTATGGCAACTCTGCCCCATTAAGCCGAGAAAGGGTGACTGTCTTAAGGTCATTCCACGTGGCCTGAGTCAAACTGGATACACTAATTCAAGGCAAACAACCAGACACAAAATGGCCAAATTTAGTAGTATGATTTCTTTAAATTTTTATTCACAATTATGGGTGGGTGTAGGTTTGAAAAGGAAGGCTTCTGTTCCTATCCCTTTAAGCGTCTCAAATACTGGAGAAGAAATGGGTCTCCGGTGGGTCTTTGAAAGGTTACAAGCTGAATTGCCTTCCCCACGCCCTCAAACGCTGCTCATCACTGCTCTGATCTCTACCCTCTACTGGGCCCCAAGAAGGAGACTCCTTCTGTCCCAGCAGAGGGCTTTACTAGAAAGAAACTGAAAGTGTTTAATTTATTTGATCTCCTTATGCCCCACTTGCCTCCTAGCTCCTTTGCTCTCTGTGACGATCCTTGCTGTAAGCAAGTCCAAATATTCTATTTTTCTCTCATACTCTTTTAACTACATTAAGGAAGAAGCATATGCTCAGGTTATAGCTGTTGCACAATCACCCCATACTTCTACTTCCATTGTTCTAACCTACCCACACACTTCCTGATTCATATGCATTCCTGTTGAATCATTTCCCTCTCTCATTCCCTCAAACTTCCACCTGTAATCCCTCCCATCACTGAAAAATCCTGTGATGGTGTCTTCAAGAAGGGTGCTACAAAACTACCCTCATGTGTCAGAGCCTCCCACCAATCATCCGCATACAGTACCACCATTGCCACCCCCTACCATTTTGACACATACGAACACTTGTTCTCATTCCAACGTTACATTTAAACTGAAAAACCAGTCATGCTGAACATCCATTTTAAGGCAATTCTTTTACTGAGCCTCCTGAATGCTTTCTTTGTGTGCGCAGGCGCGTGCCTTTGAGTCAGTCTTGATCCCAGCAATTGCCTGGACAAGTCCCTGTGGTTTTCTTGGCAAGATTTTCGGAAGTGGTTTGCCATTGCCTGTTTCCTGGGGCTGAGAGGGTAACTGGCCCAAAGTCACCCAGCCAGCTTCCTGCCAAAGCAGT